TGTGACATTCTTCAGTCTGTTGGCAGCGTTACACATCTTGTTTCCTTAACACTTTAAAGGGTTGTCCTGTATTCTGTTCTAGACAACTTTGCACTGAGGCTAAAAAACTTTGTGAAACTTGAACTGCTAAATGATTCAACTGCATTGTCACTTGATTTATGGCTTTGTGTTACCCAAGTATCTGGTTGTGTAAACTGTGTGTCCGCACTTTACACTGTCCATTTCAAAATGAAGATCTTTTTTTGGTATAAGACAAAACTTTTTATTTTTTTATTTTTTTTAATCTCACACCGTATACGAATTACAAAGCAAGGGTGTTGTTATAGAATAAATTGAAGAAACACAAGATTTGTTAGAATAGACAGAGTCTGGAAGTCCATTGCAAGAAAAGTTTATTTACAGTATGGAACCCAAAGACATGAACCCTCCAGACAGTGCTGTCCTTTTTAGTCTAATCCAATCCAGTCTGTATATGCTTCAGTTGTAGGGAGTTTTATACCTGTGTTTTCTTTCTCAGACATATTCGGGTTTTACATTTTACACATTCTAAAAACTGCTTTTACAAACATACTGTGATTATACCAGTACTGCTACTGCCATTTTCACTACATCAATGCTACAAATATGTTCCCGAAAATAACATGATACAGTAATTACGAAAAGTGAATTACCCACATCCTTTGTTCAGATTTATAGCGCCCAGTAGCTCTTTGGATATAATCCCATATGATTATAAATAGTTTCTAATTAGCTCCTCCAGCCATGGGCAATAGAGTTGTTACACTATAGCTGCTGTGTAAGAAGCTGATGTAAAAAAAAAAGTCAGAAAAGAAAATCCCTCTTAGATTTAATTTAGTTTTACCCCCAAAGCAGGATTACGTTCATATTAGGGTTCAAAAATAACCCTGCTTTGCAAACAGTTTTGGTTCAAAGTGACATTTAAAGGTTAACCTGACCTTATGACATAAAGTGGCAAGAGCATGAAAGTTGTAAAGGTCTTTTCATGGGTTTAAGTTGTTAATATTTGCTGTACACAATATATACTGAAGAATGAGAAATATGAGTTCTCAACTAAGCTCAAGCTACCAACCTTTTCTAACACATCACATAGCACTCTGAACATGTCTTGGTCTTCTTGAAGAATTTTTTTGAACTGAACAATCTTACACACAGTGGTAAAGAATCTAATCAAAATGTACTTATTAAATGATCAAAGTTGATATCTAAGGGGATTCTATACAGAAAGTGTTTTGAAATGTGAATCCACAATACAAGCCTAAAGAAAGGTCTTTCCTCTTAAATGTTTAATGTTCTGACAATGTCAGATACAGCCGTGTATATAGGCCTTGCAGATAATTATAAATAAAGGGTTTTATAAATATTCTATTTTCTTGCTAATAAGTTGCAAAAGCATTTCACATAGCATCTGCTCGATGTTCAAAGTTTCTGACTTTCAATATTGAAATTATACTTTTTAACACTCGCCAGTTACACATCTCAAAGCTCTTCCTCCTTTTACAAAATTGGGTTCATGTGTTTTATTGAAATGACATCTACCTCCCTGTTGTTAAAAAAATTACAGTATAAATTAGTTGGAGAATAGTCAAATACACACACACTACATAGTTACTTATACTAATCCTGAAAGTATTCTAGTCACTTTGCTTCCTATAGAAACCACTAATGGATGAAGTGGGACCTGTTGTGTAGCAGACAACAGTCTGCTCTGGTTTCACGTTTCTTTCTTTCTTTATTATATTAATATCCTCCATCTGTTCACCTGACACGGCATGCTGTTATTTTGCACCTGCCAATACCACTGTATCTCATGACTTATGATGAGTCAGCTGGGCTAGCCAACTGTTTATTTAGCTTTTATTGTAACTCATTCAGTTCACTAGTCTATTTGGGTGGTGGCCGGCTTTTGGAGGGAAAGAATATGGACATAGTTTAAACTTTTGATTTCAAATTGCCTTACTTACTTACTTACTTACTTGTTAAAAATGCAAACATATAGTGCTGGTTTATGGTATTGAGCCTATTCGCATGAAACCAAAATGCAGTTCAGTGTTTTCTCTGACAGAAATGTAGGCTACTATAAATTCCTTTATATTTTGTACAATCAAGGCACTCAAAGCGCTTTATGTCGAACAACTCACCCATCCACACATATTCATACATGAGTGTATGCAGACAGTGGGGGCGAGGCCAATATCTTGCACAAGGACACAACAACAGCGTTCATTTGTGGTATTGCACCGCTAAACTGTCAGTCAGTGGATCTGAACACTGTGTTAACAATACATAAGTCAAGAGCGGGATTCAAACCACTGTCCTTCGGATCACAGGACGAGCAGACCACCAACTGAGCAACACAGTCTCAAACTGTGAAAGCGAGAGGCATGGTCAGCGTGCTGAAGCGTCAAATTCTGACGCCAAAAAGCCTTTTTCCGTCTATTTCTGAGTTTTTCCTTTTTCTTTTTTAATCACAATTCTTTGCTATTTTGTGTGAATGGTTCCTCTGTGCTAATAGCTAAAGGGTGCAAATTAAACTCAACAACCGGGAAAGAGCTCCTCCAGCAATTACGCACATGGCATGTAATTATGGTCTTTAATTTTCAAAAAGACTCTGTATTAAAAACACATTTATTTTTGCTCATTGAACCAATCATTTCATGCCATAAATGTTTCAGTAACGATGAGAAATTAGATTTGATAAAATAAGATGAATTATAACCTTAGTGACAAGTTCAATACAAGAAATTTTGTTTGTCAAGACATTATGAACATTCTAACAAAGGATATTTCACAGTAGTTGGTTTTATTGTACATAAATAATAGGTTATACAGGACGTTAATTAAAGCAGTATGAATGTTTCAATGGAAAGAACTACAACATGCCAAGAAGTTGCTTAGTTGGACTAGTGCCTTGGCAGAGGTATGCTTATACCTAGGGCTTTTTGGTTCGCATTTTCTGTTTTGCAATAAAAGTAAATCCATAAATCTGAATATGCTGGAATAATGCTCTCGATATTGAAAATGGAGACATGCTGCCCTCTGCTTGTGACATTTGAGTACTACTATATTTAGCCTTCATTAGGAGCAGGTAAGTGAGTAGAAAACCCATTCTTCGCAGCTTTTCCAGGTAATTAGGTCAATGGCGTTGCGTGGTGTAACTGGAGCCAACGCAAAAGTTATAAATGTAAAAGTGACACCTATGACCTACAGTGCAATGAAGAGATGATGTCACGGCAGGGTTTTAAGGACACCGTTAATATAGGATTTCAGACTTTACACAGAGGTAGCCGCAAATGGTAAGCTGTCTCAAGATTACTGTTACTCATAATAGACGAAATCTATAAAAGCCACCATATTACTGAAACAACAACAACAACAAAACTTACATACATGCATGCATACATACATACACAACATTAATATTTTATTATATGCTATAGAAATTGACTATAGTCAACTATATATAGGTCTATTTTGTTTAGGCTCTAATTGAAACAGAATTATCAAATTAGTGAGGAAATAGCCTGCTTAATTCATTAAGACATGCTTATTTTAATCTTGTAATATCCAATTAGTCTATTGAATATGTCTATATACTGAATTCTGAGGTCATTTTGGTGCAAAAGGAAATCCTCTTAATCTTCATCTGGAATCACATGGCTCACACCTATTGAAATTTGGTCTCAGAGCGTAATACCTTCATAGGAGATGAATAAAAAAAAATATTTGGGATAAAAAAGGACCTGAGCAATGATAACATTTCCACAGTTGTTTCTCAAAATTACCTAACTGTAAAATAATCTTGATTTAAACTAGGATGAGTAAGAGCCCTATTTAAGATATTTGCCACCATTCAATAAAACAGATACAATAATCTGTGTTTTAATTCAAAGTGCAACAAAACTGTGATATTGTTTTAATGGAGTACATTGTAACCCCATGTGCCCCACCTACAGTAGCAGGTAGGTGGCCATAGGATGGGTTTTTGTAAAGGGCAAATGCATGATATGGCAAATGCTTACAAATAGGCCCTTTATTATGAGCAGTTGTAGCAATGATCTCTCTTGTTGTTTCAAATTGTTCTGGAAGGATTGGTTAATGATGTAACACACACTAGTTGGTTGGGCTAGTTGTTTGCATTTTGCATTAATAACAATCACACTATGACAAACATATGGCTGCCAAACTGTGACAACAGCGTGTCCGACCACCACCAATTGCACAAACGCTTACAGGCTTACACGGCAAATTGAATGAAGATGTGTCTTGCCCAAAGACACAACTGCATGAGACTATTGACGGATCCTGACAGTAGCCCAAATTAACCAGCAGGGGGAGCTGACAGGTAAGAATAGCGGGCCAAGTGTCTCATGTAATTCAAAGTGCATGAATGAAATTGTAACGATAATTCAGCCAATACTTGAATTATATGTGAGCTACACAGTGTTTGTCCTGCTGTAGTTATCTATTTGGCAAAAATAACTGACTTGTGTTTTCTCTTCACATCAAAACTTTTTATGAATAACGTCACATCTGGCGCCAGCAAGTTTCTCTAATTTTATCAGTCGCCCTAGACAATTGATATGCAAAAAAAATTAGCCTACATAGGCCAGTATATCTTGGTATGCTTGGAAATACAGTACATCGTACAAATATGTAATTTTTTGCAAGTAGCCGAGCGGTTCCTCGCTGTAAGTCCATTCCTGCCAATAGAGAAATCCAGACGCCATGTTTTTAGTTTCTCCCCAACCATTATTTTATTTACTAAATGCCCATATCCCTCCGCAGGGTCAGAGAGTATTTTGAAGAAATTGCCAAAGGGGGCTTCACCTGATTTTTACATCAAATTGTTATCCACGAGTTGGAATACGCAATATACAAACAAAATAACTATATTTGGTGCTCTGTGGTTGATTGAAAGTCTCTATGTGTAGTACCTGAGTTGAGGGAGCGGGATCTAGTTTTTGAGTCACATCGAGGGGGTGTGCTTTGGTGCCACTTATCATTAGATATGGCCACCGTTACTGACTATACCGAAGCGTCATTTTCAACTTAATTTTGAGATAATTCAAAAATTATTTTACAACACATCTATTGCAGTTAATGGTATATCGTTTTTGGCGTGGTTATGTTCTGGTTACGTGTATCGGGAGACGGTTGTTCCTGCGTGGAAAGCTGGCTGAGAGAGTCTGTGAACTGGCCGCTTGGTCCCGCAGCTTGGCGCAGCTGAAGAAATTAGGACCAGTTGCCAACCCAGCCTTTACGCATCACTGTCGAGGGGCATTCACGGAGGATTTCTTTACAAAGTTTCATTTTAAAGCGCTTTCACCACCTTGGATTCTAGCCCTGGTATATGTATGGGAAAATTGTTGACTGGATACTTGGGTGGCTAACACCAACTAGCTATATAACACTAACTCGTGTGCGTCGACAGCTGTCATTGGAGAAAGGAAAGTGATCCTCCAAATGCCACTGAAGCGCTTTTCTGCTGGATTTACACATTTTGTCTTTGCATCAAATGGGACAACTCGGTAGTAATCATACTGCAATATTGGAATATTCAGAGTATGCATTTTTGAGAAGTGCAGTGTTGCTCCACTGGAAAGAAGCTAGCTAGCTCTTTTAGCTCACTCGCTAACTAGCTGGGTGATAGAAGTGCGTCGTTTCATCCCCCAGTATTTTGGGCATGAAGAGGATGAGTCTATATTCATAGGGTCGAAAGGTAAGTTGTAACTCTAACTACACATTCCCCATTTATGTCGTTTACGTAGTGTTTAAAGGGAGTCAACGTTACGCACCTCCAATCTGGTGTTAGGGGGGTTGTCACCGCCTTGGTTCTAATGACTCACAATTAACAAGAGTTAAACAATTAGCACGTCAGATTTCGAAACGCAACTATTACCAGAAACAAAAAGTCTCAAAAATATGTGCAGTATCTCACACACTTCTGATTGTAGAGTAAGTAAAAGCTCTTGTACGTATCATCCACTTTTATGCATCGTAGAGGTCCCCCAATAATCCAGTTTCATTCAGTGGACCAAGCCTTTGTGTTTATTTGGCTTCATATTATCCCAAACTATTCGGAGTTATTAATGATATATTAAAGAAAGAAAACCTGCTATTCTGAACCAGTGAGATCGCCCAGATCTGCCTAAACAGCAGTGGCTTAGGTGGGCATAGTTGCCTGGTTGATGAAGATGAGTTGGCCAACAACAACCAGATGTTAACCTGTTTGCTCTAAACGATAACCCAGTACCACTTTCAAACTTCTGGCTAATGTTATGATCGGGTGCCACCCACTGCAAGTAAACCCCACAACATCAAACATTAAACCTTTAACTATATAAACCTGATGAGTGGCAGTGTTAGAAAAGGCGACAGAGTTCAACACAACGGGCTAGCGCTGGTTAGCTGTGCATCGGCTTTGTGCCCGGCTTGACTTGTCTTAACAAAAGCTAACGCTAGCGTCTTTCACTGTACCAATGGTGGGTGGTTATGCTTAATCAGAAACCGGTCCCTCACCTCTCATGCCCCAGTAATAAACTTCCACTAATAAAGTTGCTATTTTATTAATTTTGGCACTGCAAAGTATTTTATGTTCAGTACTAGCCTTAATGTGTGAGAGTTCCCAAAAGTTAGAACTAGTAACATAGACAGTGCAATATGAGCATATCTTTTAAAAGTACAGCACTTTTCAGCCAGCTGTTTGACATGTCAGTCATGTTATTAACATATATTTGATTTCATAAACCTGCTTAGAATCACAACCTGCTATACCAGTAAACCTGTTACCAAAACCAAGATGGCTGTGGCAGTCTACTAACCCAGGGGATCCCAAACTTTTCAGGCCGAGACCCCCAAAGTAACCATGCAACTGACCCAGAACCTCCACTGCAAACAAAAATGTAGTCCTGTGATTATCTCATGCTGCAAAACTTAGCATAATGTTTATTCATTATTTTTATTTGAGTAGGTTTTGTGTTATCTGACCTAATTTCACTAAGACATTTTTTTTTTTGGTTAAAAGACATACAGTGTTTCCATTTTAAAATGAAATCCTCACCTGACCCCTGGGTTGTCCTGGTCCCCCGCTTAAGGAACTGCTTTACTTATCAGTATTTCAGTAGACCCTGGGTTACATGGTTAACTCAATTTCCCATAGTTGATCCAATGATATAAACTGACAAATCTGGACTGTAGAATTCCTGTACAGTATATACTACTTGTGCGCCTGTCAACCAATGCACTGTGACTCTTTATTGTTAAAGTTAATGTTAATAGTGTGAGCATAAACCTTACCATTGTGGGCTAAACATTTTCAACTCCAAATTGAGGGATGGTTTGAGCCCAGGTTTTTACTGGTATACATTTCATTAACTACATGAAGGCCAGAGATCTTAGACGTAGACAAATTTTATGGATCCACAAGGGAAAGTATTTGGACAGCTTTCTATTGGTTAATGGCTCTATCCTCATCAGTTACAACCAAAACAAACTCATGTGCAAACTCACATGTGGTGGCTTTGCCTGTGTTTCAGAATGCCATCAGAGGAAAATACTGTGGAGCCCTCTGACCAGGGACCCTCACCGCCCTCCAGCAGTGCAGGGGCCGCATCCACAGAAAGTCCTGCCCATGCCGACAAGCGGCCACGAGGCAGGCCCCGCAAGGATGCTGCTGTCCTTGCCCCGGCACCACCGTCATCCTCATCCAAGACCAGAAAGAAGTAAGTTCCATTTTTTAAATTTAACTAAGAACATTATTATTATCTAATGAAAGTTTGTGTGGTTCCAAACACATCCTGTCATTTCTGATTTTTAACAAGTGTGTAGTTATATTTAATTTTGATGTGATAGTGATCTGACAAAAACTTGTTGAAAGTTGAAAATGCATTCATTCAGGCAACAAGGGCTTCATATGTGTCAATAGTAAGCTTGAAACATAATGCAAGGCAGTGGTGCTAGACCTAAAGAGCCCTTGATGTGACAAAAATATTAATATAATGTGAGGAAAGAAACAGGCAAGCTCATGTTATGCATTATCCGTAGTAGAACAAGGCATCACTCAGTACTATGGTGATGTTTTTGATGTATTTATAATGTGCTGTATCGCATACTGTTGACAAAAATTTTAGCTGCATACAGGGTGATTTATTATCTTACTAACTACCTTATCATTATCAATGTGGTATCTAAAGTGGTATCCCGTATTGAGCTTTTTCCTTAGTTTCAAAATCATGTTTGTAATTTCCTTATCTTGACAATAGTAGTTCCTAATACACCAAAAACCTCCTCACCTAAAAAGTAAAACAGACTGTGCTGTGGGCATTTATTAGGCAGGGTAGACACAGTTTTTACATTACAGGCTGTACATAATGAATGATTGTAAAATGTATGGTAGCCCAATTCTCAAGTCATGCCCTAGAATGGTGGCCTGGTAAATCAAAATTTTCAGTCCAGTCACTACAACCCCCACTGCATCTCTGCATGCATTCTGATTTTTATTTTTTTTTTCAGTTATGACTTAATGGGAACCTACCATTAAAAAATCTAACTTCTCTCGCCTCAGATTTACAGCATTTAGTGCTCAGTGACTCTACAGAAATTTGCAACTTATTTTTAATTAAATTTTTTTAATCCTTTTTTGATACTGGCATGCATTCTCTGCTTGGCCAATCTGCCTGCCAATCCCAACCATTGAAGCATCTTTGTACAGTATAGCAAATGCACGTTGTCTTGACTGGCCAGTTAACAAGTCTGATTTATTAGTTAAAAAGATCTTAAAATCTATTTATAGTTCAATGGAGGAGTAAGTGATGGGACAGCGAATGCACCATCATAAAAATTATTGTATCATAGCTTTCTATGACCACATAGTTGTATATGCCTGCACCAAAAAAATACTCAAATGTCTGTTTACCCATGCTTTATTTTGAATCTGCCCTACTGATTCACTGTGATACAATTTAACATAGTGTTTTTATAAAAAATATGCTTAGAGAGGACAAAGTTGCCCAAAGCCAATCAAAAATGGCAAAGTGTTAAAAGTTAATGTGTGTGGCAAAGGAGTGTGTCACAAATTGCTCTTGTAAACCTGGTTGTTGGAATTTACTAGATTTGCCCACGCTCCATCTGCTAGTCAGCACCTCCAGTTGATCCATGTTGGGATTTTGTGGCAGCCGTCTCTGAGCTGGAACTACTTACCACAGCATTATTTTCACCTTTTCTTTTTTTTTTCTCCTGCTCTCCCCATGGTGGAGCAGTGGGGGATAAGTTGTCCTGGGTATGAGGCTGTGTTAGTATAGAAGGATTGTCAGAAAAACAGCTTTCAATATCTGATCAACACGTTTGTTTAAAATGCTGTAGGAGAAATATCACCTCAAAATCCTAAAAAACACCTAAAAGTATTATTGTTCTTGTATATTGAAATATTTGATATTACAGAATCTAAAAACAAGCTTGGCATAGACAAGAACCTCCATTATTTTCCCAAATTTGTAACAACAAATGTATGTAAGAACAAAACTTATCTTATGCTATAAATAAATTTAAGATGATTTAAAATATATATATATACATATATTGACATAAATGATGATGAGATGAAGGACATTTAGGGTTCCTCTTATCTCTTTCAAGTTTGTTGTTTTGAAAAGGAAGTTGTTTAAAAGGTGGGGTTTGTTTGGCCCTGGTCCAATTCAGATTTTTCTCCGGTGGCATAAATTCTAACCCCACCTCCCTTTCTCCATCCGCTTCCTCCCTCGCTTCCAACTTCTATATCTTTGTCAACCCCCTAGAGACGGGCTGTTCCCATTTGGGCTGTGTGTGTTACCTCACAAGCAGTCCATGTTGCATTTTAATTTGGACTATTTCAAATACATTTTAATATGGATACTGTACTATTGCTTTAATATTTGATAATAAAATAATAAATAGAAAATGAAATAAAACGTTCTGGTTAAGACTTAATACTACTTGTACTAGTTTAGTCTGACTCATTAACACAGTGAACTTTCTTATCTATATCTGGCCAGTTTTGGATGTTCCATACAGCTTTTGAGACTTCTAAAAACACATCCATTATGCATCACACTACTGCTGTAGGCTTTAAAGGATGCAAGGCAGCCAGTCTTTGTTATTGGTAGAGATGAACCAATATATGAAGGCAATATTTGCAGTTAGTGTAACTCTATTGCTATTTTTTAACACTTACAAAGAGGACGCTGTACAAAATGTTTATAGTGAAACAAGGCTGTGAATGACTAATCTAATATAACCTATAGCAAATAAATTTAGGTTGAGTAGTGTTCTATTTAGACAATGCACAAGTTTAAAGTAATTTTATGACATATGATGGGCATAAATTACCTAAATTGGCCCTACATGTTGACCTTAAAATATTGGTATATCTTATTGCTAGTCTATGCAATATGTTTCTTTTTGCATTCTCCCATAGCCCTCTGACCATCACCAATCACCAATCATCAAATTAAAAAAAAATTTTGTGTGTCTTATTACAGGGGGCGCACCAGAGCGAGGGCTTCTGTGGATGAGGAGGACAGCATGGACGGGACTGAGACCACAGAGACCATAGGCCCTCAGGACACAGGTAAACTGTTGGTTTTCGCTGAATGGGAAGATGATGCCATAAAGACCGAGCACACTCCCTCTTCTGGAGAAGGATGGATGAGAGCTTTCTCATGGCACCAACGCCTTCTGCTTGACGACTAGTATTGAAAGGGTTTAGCTTGAGCTGTGAAGCTCTACACGCACTTTTTTCCTCCTGCTGCTGCTCCATCTCTCCTCCTGCTTGAAATTGGCATTGAGGTGCAGTGGGAAAGAGCCCAAGGCTAATGCCCTCTAAAAGCTTTTTAAAATCCCATCAGTCTCCTCAGACCCATTTATGTGCTTTTTATGTGTACGTTGCATCACATGACCATGTCTCACATTCTCATGCATCTTAGTGCTACCATGTTGATTAGACGTAAATACTGACCACATGGCTTTTTGTTATGTGCAGTTAAAACACATAAATGTATTAATTGAATAATCTGAATATGGTTGATAATACAAATTTACAAATTTACTTTGGGATAATAAAGTATCTATCTATTACAATTTTAATATGTTTGCTGTGCATGACTGCCTTTATTCTATATGTATGCTGTAAGCACAGTGGTTCTGAGTGGCCCTCTCAGTCTTGTAGCCTCAGGCTAATTGTAATCTTTGTTCTGTTGATTCTGTTTATTCTCGTTTGCTGCTCAGGTCAAGCAGTCCTTTCTCTGTCAGTTGAAAAGGTCAGCACACTAGGGTTAAATTGGCCATTGTTAATTTGTTGGACAATACTGCAGAGTGCCACTTATATTTTCACAAAATGTGTGAAAGTTAAGAATCTGCATTGAATTCACATACAAACCTGTTAATAACCTTTAGCTTTTTCCCTTTTTTGGAGCAATCACATTGTCACACTAGTTTTAACGCTATAAATGCAAAATAACTTGACAAAATTGGGTTTTGCGTTGAAGGTAAATTGAGGTTTTGAGTTTCCAGTTACTGTGCGCAAAGTCGCCACACGTGTAAGATACAAGTCCTTCACTCTTGCTGTTGTTTTCAGACGTTCTAGTGCAACCAGTGGAGACAGTGGAGGTGGTCACCACTGAGGAGGTGGTGGTGGAGGAGGAGGAGGAGGTGGACGAGAGCCTTCCCGCTGAGGTTTTACCTGATCTGTCTGTCCCAGCAAGCAGAGAAGTTACAAGCAGGTAACAAAGTGCAAACATGAAGCCAGCACATTACATTGTTCCCATTATTGAAATCTCCCAGTTTCTATTATATAAAAAAAAAAATCTGCCCGCAACTGTTGAGTAACACTAGAAGCATTCTTTGGCATGAATTTTGACAGAGCAGAACCATTGTTAAGGTAATCTTCTCACTGCTATTGTTAACACCAAGACCAAGGGGTGTGCAGCTCTGAGCCTGACAAGTGTTGAGGGGTTGGCAGTCTATATTTTCCTACCTTCCTACCTTTCCCATTTACACCCAAATTCCAGAAAAACAACATTCATAAAGAGTACTTCTCTTTATTGGTGCAAGCCTGAGTGCTAATTCAGTAATTGTACATTAGGTCATTCTACTCATGCAATGAAAAAAGTGAGCAGTGATTAAGAAGGAAGAGAGTGCAGTGATACCCCTGACTCGGAAAAGCTGCCTCTTTGTAGTGTCCCTTTCCATAGCGCTACTTTATGTGAGCTGGCCACCCCCTCTGTTATGCTACTGCCTCATCAGCCCCATCTGCAAAAGGCCAGGGCCCCAAATCTTCTCCATGTGCACAGTGAGGATTTCTGCACGGATGGAGGCGACATGTCCCAGGTGTCACTTCGATAAAGGTTGTAATCAATCTTAGGGTCTGTGAGTGATATCGATGTTTCTGACTGAAAGCAGCCTGACTGGATCTCATGAGATCTTATTAATAAGAGGATGTTCAATTCATTTTATAACCTATTTCATTCTTATTTTTTATCTAAATATACATATTTTTGTGCATATAATGTACCTAATGCAACAGTTGAACATGCTCACCTGAACCTGCAAAATGTGCTTGTTTCAGTGAGCGCCTCTGTGCCTTCTGTTACTGTGGTGGGCGGAGCCTCCTGGGTCAGGGGGAACTCCATGCATTTAGCATCCCCTCTCGGCATGACGTGACCAGTGGTGGTGATGAAACTGTGGCCAGAGAAAATACCTTGGAACACAGGGAACAGCTGAAGTAAGTAGACGGCATCCGAGACTATCTTACACGTTTTCCACAGTAACAAATAATCCAAAGGGATTATCTTTTCAGAGTTGAATCTAAGGTCTTAAAGGGTTGGTTCTGTTTACAGAGTTTGTTTATGCTACTAGACAGAATAGATGCCCTTGTCCTCCTCATCACACAGCTCTCACCAAATGTCTTTGAGCTCTCTCACATGTCCTTCAGCTTCCTCCTCATTCCTCATCTCTGTACTTTACCTTCTTGCTTATCCTCAGACATAGCATACTTTTGCTACACAGTTCTTGTTCTGCCTGAAGGGAAACTACACTCTTATTATTTTTTTTAATAGTGGGCCGGACTGCCCTGAGGCAGAACCTGAGAGAGTCAACCGATTTTGGGATGAGCTTTCTCATGTTGGACTTCCTCAAGACCTCAATGTCCAGTCTCTTTTTGAGTCAGGTAAGTTTAACTGTTATGGCCTCCAAAATGTCTATTCAGTAAATCCATATATTTCTTTAACTTGTTATCCTTCCTGTTTGAAAATCAAGGCCAGTGCTGGGCACATCATAGTTGTGCCTTGTGGTCCGAAGGCATTCGTGGTAGCGAGGGACAATCTCTGCTTAACGTGGACAGAGCAATTGACTCAGGGAGCACAAAGGTAAGCCAGAGGGGCATTCGTGGTCTAATAGCTGTTAATACCATCTTAATGTGTTGGGCCAGCAGGGAGGGGTTCAGTTGTGAGCACAGCAAAGCTGATAGATCAGACTGGTTGGTAAAGGTCGCTCTGGCAGCAAGGCTCTCTCAGCTGTGAAATGGAAAAGGTCACGCCACTCAGCAGACCCAGCTCTCGTGGCAGCTTAGGTCCTTGTTGGTCGTGGTGCAACGTTTTCTTCTGTTTACAGCCCATTAGTGCTGTAGCCCATCACCAGAACGTCCACTTCACAGAGCCTATTGGTGCATACTTTTTTACATAGCACGAAAAAAATGTGAGGATGACTGGCAACTGGCCCAATCTGTTTGTTTATAAGTTTTTACAGGTTACATTTGTTGATGCCTGTTTTTGCATTATTTGACTTTCTACAGCACTGTGCATACTGCAAGCGCCTTGGAGCATCCATCAAGTGCTGTGCTGAAGGATGTGCTCAACTTTACCATTACCCCTGTGCAGGGGCTGCCGGGACATTTCAGGATATTAGGAGCTTCTCTCTCCTCTGCCCAGAACATATTGATTTGGCCATAGAAAAATGTAAGTTAAGGAAATACTAGATAATAAAAACAATAATGAAATAAATGTATTGAAGAAAAAAAACAACAACATGGTTTGTCAACCACCCCTTTTCTCAAATGTTCTTTTTCCCCCTAGTCGTAGATGATGTTAACTGCGTATTGTGCGATAGCCCTGGGGATCTCCAAGACCAGCTCTTCTGCACCAGTTGTGGTCTCCATTATCACGGAATGTGCCTGGATATGGTTGTGACCCCTCTGAGGAGAGCAGGGTGGCAGTGCCCTGAGTGCAAAGTCTGTCAGACTTGCAAGTGAGTAATTGCATACTTTTTCTTACTTTTTTTTTTTTCAAATTTTTGTTACTTCCGGTTATGTTGGGGGTTGATAATTGGTTTACTTTTTGTTTTGGTGAAAATGTAAGGTCCTGCAGCTTCATCTTCTGACATTTGACCTTTTAATATCACAGTAGCAACAAGTCCTGTTTGCCCCTGGCTTCGGTGACTTCATCCTCCTTGTTTTTTTTATATCTGAGTACATTAGTTTGATGTAGTATTTGGCTAGAACAAACCTTAATTATATTATTATTATTATTATTAATCAATCTGTTTTTCACACCTAAGCATTTCTTTTAACATCTAGTATTTGTTGTAGGAACCCTGGAGAGGACACAAAGATGTTGGTGTGTGACATGTGTGACAAAGGGTATCACACCTTTTGTTTACAACCAGCTATTGACTCTATTCCCACCAATGGATGGCGGTGTAAGGTAAATATCAACACAATTTCGCATGTAGGAATAAATGTTTATATCTGATTCTTCAAGTTTAAGGTGTGCTGCATAACATTTCTTGTGGAGGGTCTGCTCCCTGCTTGCTTGTTACAGCAATACATTACATTACAATTCAGATCTGTAGAGAGTTTCCAATATTCACAGAAGGAATTACTGCATTTTTGAGCTCTAGAAACACCCTAATGAATAAATGCTAGACGGATATGTTTAATGTCATACCATGGAACATTTCAGAAAAAGCGTTGGGAGTAGGTCCACCAGAAAAGTTGTGCAGTCCACATTGAAACCTTAGGCAAATTATTAAATCAGTGTAAACTTGAGGCCACTAGACAGTGCAAAATGTTCTTTAAGGTCCTATAATATGCATTCATTAATTGGTGTTATGTTTGCTATTTTTTAGAATTGCAGAGTGTGCATCCAGTGTGGGACGCGGGCCAGTGGTCAGTGGCATCACACGAGCCTCATGTGTGAGACGTGTGCTCAGAACCAGGACCCCGCTCTCTGCTGTCCACTTTGTGCCTGTATTCTCGACCCTGAGCGCCACAAAGATGTGCTATCCTGTCACACATGTAAACGGTAAATTTCATAGTGTGTCCATGGTTACATTTAAAGGTGCTCTGGTTAAGATTTCAAGTGGAGGCTTTGCCACCTGCTTGTCCATATAGAGATGTAAATGTTTTTTCTTTTTAATGTTCCACAGTAGAAATGAGCGGGTCAGATCTCTGTAGAGGAAACCCCACACACTCTAAGATTGCATGTTTTAATTTTTTAAATTTTTTTTTTTTTGAGGAATTTATTAACAGCAGAATGAAACTAATGCTAGATTAATTTCATACTGCAGAACACTGTAGGCAAAGCAATCCCCATATAGACTGGAGGCTTTAGCAAAAGAAAAATGCATTCCAACTGGACAAACGTTTTGGAGAAATCTCACTTCAAAATTTGACAAATTGACAAATTTAAGTTTCTTTTGCTATGGAACCTCCCTGGATGAGGGATTATTCAGGTCCTTCATAAATTTGAATAAATCTTTTGTTTTCCATAAGTACATTGAATTCTTATTCGTATACTAATGATGAGTTTAGTAGTTATATAGAGACTTGTCCTCTGCTTTCAGATGGCTACACCTGGAGTGTGAGCGTCAGAACTCAGGCCAAGCAGAAATCCAGCCCAGAGAGGACTACATTTGTTCTAACTGCAGGCCTCCTGCTGCAGAGCGGACGCTCCAAACAGAGGACATGGAGCTGGGCCCGGAGCTCAGCCCACAGCCATCCCCCATGCACACAGACTGTGAGATGGACCCACAGCTGGCCCCAAAGCACATGGACCTACAGCCCTGCTCTCACGCCCCTCCCCAAACGCACAAGCACGCCCCAGAGGAACTAGACTCACAGCCTGCTCAGGGCGGTGTCTCAGAGGAGAAGGTCATTCCATCATACATCCCTGGTAGGTCCCTACACAGGATATATTCTCATACTGTGTGAGTGATCAGAACGTCATTTTGCTTATCAAAATCTTGTGATTCTTACCATTTTTTTTTTTTCCCCTTGCTTTGATTTACAGTATAGCAGAGCCTTAGCGCTGTTATTTTCCCCATATTTATACTGTAATGATGATGCACAATAATTGCTGATATATAAATAATTGCTATTGCTCACTATGCCCAGGTTACTCTGGAACAAATAAATGGATTGTCATATTCCAATAACATTCCCTTGCACTATCTTTTATATTACATGTTTTTTACATTGTTTGTGTTAGCCTCCATGTTTTCTTTAATCAGAGCAGGGGGGTTGTGAATGGGAATGTGTGTTCAGCGTTGGTCAATAGTTGAAGGCTAGAGATGGTTTGGGGCCCATCTCCTAATTGACTTTCTGGCATCAACACCGGATGAGCACCTGCAAGCTGCACACTCATGAGCCCAGAGCACAGGACTCTGGGATGTGGGTTGTCATGGTTACAGGCTTCCCTGGCAGAGATGCTGAGCAGGTGCATGCGTGTGTCAGGAGCAGGGTGACATGGGAACTCGTGGATGGAAATGGAGGGTGCCTTGTTAAGACTAGGGGATCTGTACTGTCAGAGTATTGGCCCAGTGTGTGGATGACCTATTCTAGGAATGACTAGATCTATTCAGAACTAACCACTAACTGATGTCCTTCATCCCAGTGAAATGGAAAGAGGCATCCGGAAACATTTGGTAATCTGAAATAAAGGCACCGGGGCTACATGCCATCTTTAATGTTTATAGATGGAATAGGTATCTTTTATTGCAAATTTGTGGTCCAGAGTAAAAAAACAAACAATAAGAGGCCCCTTATCTCTAAGGAGACAACCGTATCATCACATGTATTCCACATCTGAGAATTATATCTGATGGCAGTGTAGGCATTTGTTTATTTATTTACTCATATTTATTATTAAGGTGTATTTTTGTTTTGTTTATTCCATGACAGTCTTTATGCTGTGTGCCTATTCTTTTAATGGTTGACCTTTTTTTCTTTTTAGATGTCTCTGAGAACTATCTCACTGAACATTCTGTCGACAAAGTACAACAAGGTATGAAGATTAGAAAATAATTACTTAAATGACTCTTTTTGTTGTTTTGTTGTTTTATAGATTTTATGCAGTTATTTTGGCAAAACTGCCCTCTGCCTGCTTGGCCTGTTAATGATTAGAACAAATGTACAAATTATTGTAAATGTGCCATGCAGTTCTTTTAATTAGTTTAGTTTATTTTAATTCAATTTGTCTAAATCTCCTGCAATGCCTGTTCCCAGTAAAATGTGATGTCTTTATGATTAGATGATGTTTATTATATTATATAATATATACATATATTTCCGCTGTTGGTAAATTTGAACCCTCTGTCTATTCTTCCACAGACTCAAAGTCAGAAACCACAGCACAGGCCACTTCTCCTGAGCTGCCCGTCTCCTCAGCAGGTCAGAGATTGGACAGTTTACCCGCCCCATGTTCTGTGGAGTCACTGCAGACGCAGGATCACATGTTACAAATGAAGCCAGCAAAGATGGAGGCATGCTCTGAGCAGGGCATGCTCACCCCTAGCACAAAGGATTTTAAGGCCATTATCTCAACCAAAGAAACAAGCACTGCTCCCGTACTTTTGATGGACCAACCAATGGATATCTCATGTCCGCAGGCTTCTAATGCAGATGATCTGGAAACGGTTCCTAAAGACACAAACAGGGGAAAGGGAGAGGGCAGTTTGCAGACTGTTGACCCTTCAACTTGTGATTCTGTAGAGAACATGGACATTCTACCGGAAATCAAACCTAGTCTTTTATTTGCCAGCCTGACATTTGGAGAAAGTTCTAAGTCCTCGGTAGAGCGATTAGCTGAGATGGTCACTAGCCCCTCCCACTCCTCACCTTTAGCCAGAGTGATCAGTCCCAGGGACTCCTCTCACCCTCAGACTCCGTTCCTTCATTCAACAGGAGAACGCAGCATCCACTCAACCACCCTCATACCACTCACCCCCAAGATTGGAATGGGCAAACCAGCTATTACCAAGAGAAAGTTTTCTCCAGGGCGACCACGGGCCAAACAGGTAGGGCTGTTAAAGAAGTGCTCCAGTGCTCTATCTCAAATCTCAAACATGCTTTAATCACTGGTTAGGATCATATACACCACATGTATTTCCTCTGTGATGCTGCTCATCACAGTCATCAGAGCCCATTGATCCCATGTTCATGTGTCAACGATATTGACCCGTTCTTCTCACTTAATGCTGTACTAATGCAGTCCAGCTGATATCAAAATTCTAAACTAACAAAATTTAGCTAACTTATTGGAAAGCACTTATATTGATCTGGTAATGCGAACCTTTTAGAATTGCTCCTAACCTGCATGTACTAATTAACACTAATAATCCTTCCTGATAGTTTTAAATGAACCAATTTGAATGTCTTGACTCGTTTCCATACGGCTGCATTAGAGGCTCATTACATCTCTCTAACATCTTTTTGTATGTTTTGTTTTTTGCTGGCTTTGTTTTTAAGTTGCTGCATTTTGTCGCCCTCCTCTCCCTATTTCTCACACTCTGGCCCACCCCACCCCCTGACCTTAGGGTGCATGGAGCCCCCATAGCCGTGTGAATTCCCCCTTGTCCTGGTCCCCAGACCAGCCTGAGGGGTGGGACATCTCAAAGACCAGGCAATCCTCAGGCAGCCCAGGCTGGAGCATCAGAGTGGTAAATACTATGGCTCACCAATCACAGCTGAAGCTCACCCATTTAGCTGGGTTAAAAAGTTTATGAATCACATGAGCAGCAAAACTTGGCAACGCTTTTTGGTTTAGTCATTGCGTGAAATTGTACAAGAAATAAGAGCAAAAATGCTCATGTTCATGTGGAGGGATTGAAAATTGTATTGACATTTTGGGGATGCAGTCTTTAATGGTAAATACTAGGGATGTAACAATAATCAAAATATTCTGATATTGTATCGTCAAAATAATATTGTGATCCATCACAATATATGGAATTACAAGTTTCTTTGCTTAAGTTATGGTGCAGCAATAGCTAAAATGAAATAGAGGGAACTACAAAGATCATGATATTTTGCTCCATTTCAGTGCAGACTACGTGAAGATATAACTGCTATAGCACTTTTAAATCTTAGTTCTTGGGATTAAGTCTTGTCAAGGCATTTTGAGTAAAAAGTAGCATATTCAGTTTCGTTAGCTTCCATAAAATGTCGCAATGAATATCATGCCGTGAGATGTATATCATGAAAATATCGTACCAGGAATATTTGAATATTGTTGCATCCATAGTAAATACTCTGTGAGTAAATCTAACTTTCAGGAAAAGAAATAAAATAAATTATGACATATAAATGTAAAAATATGCTTGAGCAGTCTTTCTGGTGATGCTAGAAATGTGATTTTTATTTTTCATTAAATGTATTTTTGAGAGTTTATAAGCCTTGTCCAATGCTGAAGAACCCTGTTTTTCATTTGTCAAAGTAGCATCTAAGGCATGTTGAATCTCTTGCCCAAATACTACAGATGAAGTCTGATGTTAAGTGGTTATTTTATAATGTATCGTGACATTCTGTTCTGATATTTATAATATCAGTATTTTAAACCTTACAAAGGAAATCAATTTAGGAAAGGAAAAAAATAAATAATAATTATACCCTTAGATTAAATTACAATGAAAAGCTACCCACCTCACAATCCTGCATCTTTTTCACTGATGCATTTTGTTTTCCTCTTTAAAAGGGTCGTGGCTCAGGCTTTCCAGGAAGGAGAAGACCCAGAGGTGCTGGACTGTCTGGGCGTGCTGGACGCGGCCGGGCCAGAGGAAGAAATGGAGCCAGTCCCAGCTTCAATCCTGGGGTATATGCAAGGTTTTATATGGTGTATGCTTATAATCTGTACTTCCCCTTTATTTCACACTTTTACCCTGTGATTTTCAGATCACTACAATTGAAACGTCATATCCAATCAAAGAGGAGGAGGAGAGTGCCATGCATAATACTGTGGTTATATTCTCCAGTAATGACAGCTTCACCATGAAACAGGTCATTGTTTTTCAATTTTAATTGGGGTACTAGAAGTTGTTTTGTGTCGTTTTAATTATTTGCATGAGTAGAGAGACTGACTCAATCGTGGATGAATCATGGGTCATGGATAAAATTATTTTCTTGAAATTTTAATTCATGTATTTCCTCTGTGGGAAAAGTAACTGAACTGTTGTTCCAGGACATGTGTGCGGTGTGCGGAAGTTTTGGTCTTGGCGCTGAGGGTCGGCTTTTAGCCTGTGCTCAATGTGGTCAGTGCTATCATCCGTTTTGTGTAGGCGTTAAGGTATGTACTTCTTACCCTCGGCAAACATACAGTATTTCCAAGTATTTTTTCATGTAAATGTATAATTATTGCTTTGAGCAGATGAACAAAGTAGTGTTGAGTAAAGGCTGGCGCTGTCTGGAGTGCACAGTGTGTGAAGCCTGTGGCCAGGCCACAGACCCTGGCCGCCTGCTTTTATGTGACGACTGTGACATCAGCTATCACACTTACTGCCTGGACCCTCCGCTGCAGAATGTACCCAAGGACAGCTGGAAGTGCAAATGGTGAGCCATGTCATAAATAAGAACTCACACATCTCATACATAAACCACTCGAAACCTGCCAGATGAGTATTAGAACATGTATCCCGTTTTCCCACTTTCAGAAATATGTTGGAATGTAATTAAATTTGGAATTGCTTGTGTTATGGTCTTTAGCCCCATTTTCACCAATCTTGTGCCTCGTTTACACTCAATACGGAGTGGGTTCAGCATATGTTTAGTTATTTGCAGACTGCCTGTCACACCAGCTTTGGTGCACTGCGGTGTGTATTTGGCCTCGGTCTAATTACAGTGTCTCCTAGTGTATTCTTTCTGCAGGCTCACACCTCTCCTGGACAGTGTCTGCACTGCTCTTAGGCTTGTGTGACAGCACTCAAGATTTTAATGACTTTAGATTTCTTGCATGACCTGCACTGGGCTCGAACTGCACCAAACTCTCATTAGGTGTAAACTCGATATTACTCGTCTCTAGTTCACTGTGCTCAGCCTGCTTCTGTTGTTACTCTGTCTGTAGAATCCGGGACCATATTTTGAATAACTTGTGGAATGCATGGATACCGCCTGCACCGGTATTAAACACTTTTGACCAGTGACTGACCAGAAGTGTTTAGTACCTGCATGGCCTGGTTAGAATTCTGGTGGAGCTGGTACTCAAAGTACCTGGAAAAGATGGATTAATAAACACTCTTGCTTGTTTACCTGTTTGCTGCAGGTGTGTGACGTGTACTCAGTGTGGTGCCACTACACCAGGTTTGAGGTGCGAGTGGCAGAACAATTATACCCATTGTGCCCCCTGTGCCAGCCTCAGCACATGCCCCATCTGCCTGTTGGACTACAGCGAAGGCACAGTCATTGTGCAGTGCCGGCAGTGTGACAGGTGAGCACTGTCTCAAAACGCCTCAGACAACCCTCAGATGACCTTCTTATAGACACTTTTTGTATCTTAATTTGCACCCACTTCAACCATGTTTTTCTCCACAGATGGTTTCATTCCTCTTGTCAAGGTCTTCATTCAGAGGAAGATGTAGAAAAAGTGGCTGATAGCTGCTTTGACTGCACAATGTGTAGAACTTTTAAGAGCACTAAAGGTTATTACTTTCATTTTTAATGACATTTGCCATACATTTGCCATCTTTTACTTTTTGTGGTATTCATGTTTTTGTGAATTTTCCTACAGCAGTTATGACCAAGGTCAGAGATACAATTGAACCTGTACTTATGACACAAATTTTCACCAAGACTAAAGAAATAGGTAAACATTGTATTTTTGCCAAGACCTTCCATTTTCAATCAATTCTATGGTTTAGCTAAAAGCTTAATTTTACAATGACTTTCTTTTAGATCTCTCAAGAACCTACACTCAAGATGGAGTCTGCCTGACAGAATCGGGCTTGTGCCAGCTCCAGAGCCTGTCTGCCACAGCCTCTCGCCGTCGAAAGTCTAAACCTAAACTCAAGTTAAAGATCATTAACCAGAACAGTGTGGCTGTGCTGCAGACGCCTGTGGATCCTCTCTCTGAGCTCTCACGTGATGAAGACATGGAGGATAACAGAGGTACCTGCGCTGAAAGAGGTTATTACGAACCCCAAATATAATGTATATAAATTGATAAAATCACATTATAATCACATTATTGACATTATAAGACTCAGGGTTTTATGGTACTTGTGAAACTCGCAGTCAGCTTGCTGCTCTCCCGCTGAATGGAGCTTTGGCCCCAGTGTGGAGGCAGAGGGGCCCAGTTGGGGATTTGTGCAGCACAGGGCTGTCGCTCATCATCATTGCTCTCTCCCTCACACAGAGGCAGAGCTCATGGATTGTGAAGCAAAGTCCGACTCAAGCCTGGAGCGGGAGCCAGTAGAAGAGGACACCAAGGGGGGCGACGGTGGCAAAAAGAGGAAAAGGAAACCGTACCGGCCGGGTAGGGCATCTGATTAAAAGAGACAGCTCCTCTCAAGTGTAAAATGGCACAGTGCATGGTCTAAATCTTGTAAGGGCGTACCTAGTGTAATTTCATACTGAAACGGGATAATTAAATCATTATGTATACAACTGAAGTTAATTATGAAATCTAATGATATCTTCAGGTATTGGAGGCTTTATGGTCCGCCAGAGGAGTCGTCCAGGGCAAGGTCCAGGGAAAGCCAAACGCACCCTTTGTAGAAAGGATTCCACCGGTTCTGTGTCAGAAAACCCTACTGGAAATGACGGTATACACACCTTCTCTTGAGTTTAGATTTTTTTATGTGCACTTGTTGTCAAATTCAAACATTCTACAGAAAATGTATGTATTTACCTTTTGTGCTGTAGGGTGGACAGAAGGTCTACCTGATACCCCTGTGGATGAGATGCCTCCTGGGTCAGAGGTTCCAGAGAAAATAAAGAAGCGATACAGAAAGAAGAAAACCAAATTGGAGGAAGCCTTTCCCACGTACCTCCAGGTCTGCTGTGTTTTTGGGTTTACTTATGCATTTGTATCAGGATATGTGTATTCACGACCTGGTGCTAGTCTTCTTTATATAGTAAACCAGAATTATTGGAAATTTGACAGTTATTTAGATGCCCTGCAGATGTTCAAGCTGAGGATACCAATCTTTCATCTTTTATTTGGCTCCTTTTGTGAAGGGTATTCATAAACCTATTTCAAGATGACTTAATGGCTCTATATCTATAACCAGTGTGTTATTGTCATGTTGCATTAGTGGAAACAAAATCCTGTTTTTGCCTCAAGTCACGGGGGCAGTTGTTCCTTTTCTCTTCCTATTGTGGGAGAGGAATTGTCAGCCTAACCTTAAGGTCCAAGACAGAAGCACATTTCATGAATTATTGAAACAGCAACACATTGGGCTTTTAATGTCTTTATGCAGCAGGGAGCCGCTGATACATGTCATGAAGGATAGTAGATGACTTGTGGGTTTAAGTGGTGGGGGAGGTAGAAGCTGCATGGCTGAGACTTGAACATTTTATTTAAGACTTTATCAAATATTTTTGTTTGTCATAATTTTCAGGAGGCATTCTTTGGAAAGGACCTGCTGGACAAAAGCAAACAGAGCAGGCAGCAGGGGGCAGAATCAGGTTTTCTGGAAGAAGGCCAAAGTCAAGTGGAAAGAAAACAGCCCTCCACCTTCCTGGGCCGGCCATCAAATCCAGTTGTCACTACTGCACCTGACAATAGACAAGCAGCTGGTATGTATAGGGACAATATCTAGTTCCTTTTGTCTATGGTGCAAATTTACATGGTATTCCTCTGTCCCTGCACTTGGATTAACCCTTTCTAACCAACTGGGCTGTACTGTAAATGTGGTGGAGTATGATGAGGACTTTGTGTAATTTTACTTTGTTTAAATCACTTGGGGCAGGGGCCACCACACTTTTTTCTCTGGGGGCCAGGGTCAGGTAGGCCGTATAACAGAATTGTATGACCCTGATGACGCAGATTATATTCTTTGAAAACTGCCACACTTTCTTTACATATTAGACAAATTGCACGATACTTGCACTAAACCAAAAAAATAATCGGTTGTCCGCTGTTCTTTGAAAACTCTGCACTCTGTCAAGTTTTCGTACTTTAACACTCACCATTTTGCTGTCCTTAACTGCACTACAGTACTCTGCATGTGCGTTGACGGTCACTGTTTGATCTCGAGCTTGTCAGGTGATTAAAATTCAGTGGCAAATGTAAATAAGTCATATAGTAATTTAAATATAAATGTAAATACTTCATATAAATATATATTTTTAAATTGAAAATAATCAACAAAATACAAGATGCAGATTATTATTTGCCAGAAAGTAATTTTAAAAAATAGCTTTTGAGGATTGCCTCATAGGGCCAGTTCAAGTGGTGGGGGGCAGAGGGGCTGGGGGGCTGGTTAAAGGGGCGTGGAGGGCTGGAGTCAGCCTTAGTTTGATGACCCCTGACGTAGGGGTGTGTATAAAACTATTTTACAATAATCACCCAAATCCCACTCATATCCATTCAACATCTTATGATTTGTGACCGTTTTGCTTTCTTTCTTTTTGTTTCTTCCTTTTTTCCTGAATTACAGAGGCATCCGAGGAGCCTTTAGTTGATCTGTCTGATGTTTTGAACTCTGATGCAGACATCTTGGGAATGCTGGGAAAGACAAGCAGTGACTCTGGTGCGTTATGTATACAGTATACAGCCAAAAGCTTACGGCAGTGGTCTTATTTCCTTTGGCTGATTATTTTGCTTTCACCAGTAATCTGGCAATACAACTATCTAGTGCATTTGGTCCACCCTTGTGTTTTTATTTTGCATTGTCTACTGTGTGTTGTGCTTGTTCTGTCCACACAGTTTTCACTCATTTGATCTGGTTTTGGGTTCTTGTAGGTCTTGATTTTTGCTCCTTCCAGGTTGACAGCTCACCTCCTCCTTTTGGTAAGGGTGCACTGGCCTACTAATCCCCTGCTTCAGTGTGTTCTTCCTCTCACACTGCGCGCCCGCCTTTCTGCATGTATATGCTGCTTCTTATTAACCTTTCCATTTTAATCTTCTTAGCTCTTAACCCAACAATTCAGTATATGCTCATTGTCTGCCTATTGTTGTGATCTTCATTAACGGTGTTACACTGACAGCATTTTAAACCAACTATAAATTAAATATATAGACTGGAAACCATCCCACAAGGTTGTTTTTTTTCCAACCCAAAACTAATTCAGTTTTGGGACTATTCCGACAATTCCAGGGTTGTTGGCTATATTTAAAGATAGAATGGTACATAGACATCAGTAATTACAAGGCTTGTTTATTTCTTATATGTATATTTTGATACCAAGCATTATGTTCATAATTTTGTATGACAACTCACCACATCTGCAAATATACATCTCTGTTTAGCTTAGTTGGTTGTGAAAGAAAAGCCGCAGGTGTCAACAGTACCTTTTTGTGGTGATTCCAGTTGCAAGTAAAAGGAGGGGGTTACATCTGAATGTATACAAGATCTTCATTAAAACAGGTTTTGTCATTTATAGTATTACAAACTGAAGTTCTACAGACCATAGTGAAAATACAGAAACTAATCAAACAAAGGCCATTTGTACATAGGTGTCAAACTTCTTCTCATTCTTGCTCTTTATTTCTTAACTTTTCAGTTAAGCTTGTAGTTTTAGTTACTTTGTGTTTATGTGTTATAATGTTTTTGTTTTGTTTTTTCATGTTTGTGTGTTTCAACAGCTGGCCTGGACATTGGGCCTCTGGCGGACAGTTCTCCAGTAACACCACAGTCTCATGGCGGCCGCAGGACCCCTCGGACCCTCTCTGAGGAGCCCCTGGATGGAATCCTCAGTCCTGAACTAGACAAGATGGTTACTGATGGTGAGTAGAGAAGGTTCAATATTCAAAACATTTGTTTAAAAAAAAAAAAGTTAAATTATTTTTTCTTTTCCAGAATCAATTCTCAGCAAGTTCTACAAAATCCCAGGTATTATCAACAATTGGTTGCAAAACTAACATAAAACTATTGTGTATAATTTGATAAGTTAAAAGAAACAAAATTCTATTACAGAGCTGGAAGGAAAGGACGTTGAGGATCTATTCACTGCAGTTCTCAGCCCCAGCACAAGCCAACCACCTCCACCACAGGTGCCTCAACCCCAAGCTCCAGGCCAACTCCCTGCCTCCTCTGGACTGAATATGCCACACCAAAACACAGGTAGTGGTTTTCATTGTAACAATGTGTAGAATGCACAATTATTTGTTTCTCTGTTACTTGCTGTTGAAAATGCATTCAAAATTTTCCTATGCTGCTAGGAAATACTATGCTGTCACAGTTGTTAGTCTCACTTGCTCTAGTTTTGATGTGTTTAGGTAATACCATGTTTCCACGGATACCAGTAATGAATGGCGTAATGGGACCAAATCAGCGTTTTCCTGGAAATGCAGCAACTGGGCCCTGCATCCCAGAAAATTTCCCTCTTAATCGAATGCCTTATTCTGACAATCCCAGGTAATATAACACAACTTTGGGTTGATTTACTTTTTGTAACAATGGTCATCATTTCGCATTTTCTGGGTTACAGAGATAGAAAATTTAATCAAATATCCAGAGAGGCAGGGCCTTGGCCATCCCCTACCCATGGCTTTGGTCAGACGCCTCCTGTTTCACTATCAGAAGGAGAGACTGAAGCCATGTCAAATGCCCAGAAGAGTACGCTCAAGTGGGAGAAGGATGAGCCACTTGGAGAGCTTGCAACTGTTGCACCTGTCCTTTATACCAATGTGAATTTCCCCAACCTTAAAGAGGAGTACCCAGGTAAGTTTATTTGTTATTATTTATTTGATATCATACTGTATAATTTTTAAAAAAGCATTTGTTGGAATCACTTTTTTTTTTTTTTTACAGATTGGACAACAAGAGTAAAACAGATTGCAAAACTCTGGAGGAAGGCTAGTTCTCAAGACAGGGCCCCATATGTGGTAAGTTTGTACAACAAAATTGTAAATATAACATAATGTATATTTGAAAATAGGTATGTGCTTTACAGGCTTCCCTTTTTAAGATGACAATTTTTAAAGTTAGTTGGTATAATGTACAATCTTAGATAACATTACAACATAATGAGATTTGATAATCTCTGGTAAAAATGCATCTGCGGTATATTTTTTTCCCCATCATGTCTTTAATGCTCACCTCAATTTTACTTTTGTTTAGCAAAAGGCAAGGGATAACCGAGCTGCCCTGCGCATCAACAAAGTCCAGATGTCCAATGAGACCGTGAAGAGGCATCACCCACAGCAACAGCCTCCAGAGGTGTTTGATCCCACCATACCACTAGACACAGATCTGCTGTTTAAAGACCCTTTGAAACCAAAAGAATCAGAGCATGAACAAGAGTGGAAGTTTAGACAGGTAAGAGTGAATGCAGTAAAGTCAGCGTATGCAGCGACAGGACTACTTTCATTAAGACATCCATGAAATCTACTAAACAACTGCACTATCCTACACATTTACCAACTAAATTGGTTTGTTGGCCCATATTGGTATTCCAAATGTTTGTTTTTTTCCTGAGTAATTCTCACTTTTGATTTCTAATTTGTACTACCTTTTTATTTCAACAGCAAATGCGCCAGAAAAGTAAACAGCAGGCCAAAATTGAAGCCACACAGAAACTAGAGCAAGTTAAGAATGAACAGCTCCAGCAGCAACAGCTACAACAACATCTTAGTTGCCAATCAGAAGATGGCAATAACAGTGGAAACCAGAGTCCAGCCTCTCAGCCCAGCAATGGCAGCACGTCCCCAATGCAACCACTCAGCTCTAAAGAAGGGTTTACCAGGCCACAGCTCCCAGGAACCCCCACCTCCGGGCCAGAGGATGTATTTCTCAGACCTCCTCCACCACCTCCATCTGGGCCCTTGTCTCAGCCACAGTCTCCACAGGTCTTCTCTCCAGGATCCTCAGGCTCCAGGCCATCATCACCTTGGGACCCATACGCAAAAATGGTTGGAACTCCAAGACCACCACCGGTGATGGGACCAAATGCATGTCGCAGACTACCTGTCGAATCGGGTAAATCCCCAAATGCTCTAATGGAGCAGCGTCCCTCTCCTGCTCATGAGTCTTTTGGTTCACCCACTTCTGTTAGCAGTGATCCTTATGCCAAGCCCCCTGACACACCAAGACCATCCAATGAACAAGATCCTTTTTTGAAGCCCATGGGTCCTCCTCGGGCTAGTCAGAGTTCTCAGGGTAGGCCTCCAATGGGGTCCCCAGGGAGAGATCCTTATTCAAGGCCCATGATAAGAAATGAGGCTTATCAGCGAATGGCTCAGAACAGGATGATCTTATCGGATCCTTACTCCAGACCTTTACTAACACCAATTCCTGGTAGTAATGAGTCTGGATCTGTTCCTCTATTCAAAACACCCATGCCCCCGCCTCAGGCTCAAGAGTCCTATAATCGCCCCGACAGGTTTAATCAACAGAATGACCCATATTCTCAACCTCCTCACACCCCAAGACCATCAGGAAGTGATAACTTTACAAGTCCCCCACGAATTGGTCCGCATCACTCTCAGTTTGTCCAGCCTGGCCAGATGAATCATTTATCTAGAAACCCATATGCACAGGCACCTTCTACTCCAAGGCCAGACCACTATACATATGATCCCTTCTCTCAGCAGTCTGGATCAGGCAGGTCATCATCTAATGAAAGCGGTCATTCTCGTCCATTTTTTGAGCCTTACGCTAGACCCCCTGGTACCCCACGTCCCCATGACAATTATGGTCAGCCAAGCACACCTAGCCCATCTTCGGACCCCTACTTACAAGCTCCTGCCACTCCTCGTCCCAGTGGAATGAATCAGCTCCAGAGAATGTCACCGTCTCACTCTGTGGACCCTTATGCCCAGCCACCAGGGACACCACGGCCATCTGCTGTAGAGAGGTTTTCAAAGTCTCCTGGAAGCCAGAGGGGAACTATGGAGCCATTTGCGGGCAGCCCTGGCATGACAAGGGCTGGCAGTAATGACATGTTCTCACAGCAAGGGGGCCCTAGACCACTGCTAAATGATCCTTACGCTCAACCACCGGGGACACCACGACCTGCCTCTGACGGGCGGGGGCAAAGGCCAGTGGGAGGACAGGATGCTTTTTCCCCACCCCCTAGCAGACCTCAGGAACCACCTACTCAGCCTGGCTCTCAAACACCAAAACATCCCAGTATCTCAGATGATCAGTCACCTTCACGGCAAGCTGGACAGACACCAGGCCATGACCCATTTGAGCAAGCTCCTGTGGTGTCACAGGAAAAAGTGGAGAACACAACGCAAGCTGCAGCACAAGATCCAGATCTGACATCTAACACATCCATGTCTTGTGCAGCATCAGACGCTCAGGGTGAAAGTGAAGATAAACTCAGACAGGTATGGAATAATTTGTGACAATTTATTGTCACAAAATAAAGTTAAATAACTGTAAAATCAATGTTGCATTATTTCTATTGGTCAAAATGCTTCATTTTTTGTCTCTTATAGAAGATCTAATGCATTATTAAGATATTGTTTTTATATTGCAGCGACAAAGAATAAGAGAACTTCTCATCAAGCAACAGCAGCAGCGGAGTGCAATACGTCAAGAAAGAGGCCCTCAGGAGCCCCCTGGCAATATGCCACCAGGGACACCTCGACCCTGGCCTCAGGAGGGCCATGGGCAGCAAGGGGAAATATTTAACCGGCCTCCCCCACCGTATCCTGGTCAAGTTCCTGTCAGACCAATGAGGTTTCCAGGATCCTTCCCAACAGATCAGCGTGTCCCATTTCATAATGATGGACAAGTGCTACGTGGACCACATCCTACAGATCCAAATTTTAGGCAACAGGGACTGAGGTTTGTGCTTAAAGCAATTTGGTTAAATCCTTATCCCTCAAAATAAAGCTGGTATAACTAGGTTCTCCATTTTTCTTTCTCCAGGTTTCCCTTTGCACCCGGTGCTATGGGTCCTCAGGGAGCCCAGGAGTTCTTTCCTAGAGGGCAAAATCCAATGCAGATGAGGCGATCAATGTCTGCAGAAATGGCCAAAAACATTGGAAGTAACCCCATAGGTTTACACCACTTCCAATCACGGGGAATGCCTGTACAACAACATAACATTATGGGGCAGCCTTTTATTGAACTGCGTCACAGAGCAGCAGAAAGCAGGCCTCGTATGCCCTTTCCTCCTAATGTCATGCAAGGAGGAAGTATGGACCCCAACATGCATGCTCAGAGGCCCCCAGGCTTTTCAGGGGCACCTGATTCTAGATTACCATTAATGCACGTGCCCAGGATGGTAGATCCTTTGACAGGCCAGGCAGTCCATATGCAACTTTCAGCAAGCATGGGCAATCTGAATCAACAAACTCAAATATGTGGAAACACAATGCTTAAACAATCTCCTTTAATGAGATCCTTGAGCCAGCCCGCACCCTCTGACACTCAGAAAATGACGGCCTCTATGATTGCTAGTGTACAGCTTCCTGGACAGACCGATGGCATGTCGCTATCTTCTGGTGATGTTGTGGAAGAGAAGCTAGATGTAGAGGAATCTGCTGTCAAAGACCTTGAAGATGTGGAAGTGAAAGATTTGGTGGATGCTGACCTGGAAAACCTTAATTTGGACCCAGAAGATGGTAAAGATCTGGATCTTGAGACAAATGATCTACATCTTGATGACTTTCTTGGAGTGTCTGGTCAATTTGACATCATTGCTTACACAGACCCTGACTTAGATGACATAAAGAAAGACATGTTCAGTGAAGAGCTGGATCTTAATGATCCAATGGATGAGACTACAGATACTGCAGAGAATAAGAATTCTAGTAGCTCCAATGGAGCTGAGACATCATGTTCAGAGTCTGCACAAGCAAAACCAAATTCTGTCAGTGACCAGTCTGAGCCTGCAGACACATCTGTGTCTCAAGACATGGCACCTCAGCAGGAAATTAAAACTGAGATTAAAGAATGTCAGCCCAATTCTGATACTGTAGAACAAAGTCTTGTTGACAATTTAACTTCGAATCAACAGGCAGGACTCCCAGACACTACCCCGGTCCTCTCTGGTCTACTCATTAAACAGCAGTCCGAAGAGTCGTCATTACATCCATTGGTTGAATCTGTAAGTCAAAGTGGTAACCTTCTACCTCCACAAGGCCAAGTGACAGATATTAAACATGCTCCTGAAGTGCTGATGAATCAAGCCATAAGTGATACTACCACAACTGGTGAAACATCAATGGGGGACTATGCAACAGACCCCCAGCTACAGCCTTCCTCCAGCATTGACCAAAGTGGTTTGAACCAGGCCCAGCAGATGCCTGTAAATCAGGCCTTGGGCCAGCACAACCAACCACCGCGTCCTCTTCTACTGGAGGAGCAGCCCCTTCTCTTACAGGACCTCCTAGACCAAGAGAGGCAAGAGCAACAGCAACAAAGACAGATGCAAGCCATGATTCGACAACGCTCCAGTGACTCCTTTTTTCCAAACATTGGTAAATAATCTTTCTGTTATAAATTTATAATATATATATATTGTTATTTAGATTTATGACTTGGCCTTTTTGCAGATTTTGATGCCATCACTGACCCTATTATGAAAGCAAAAATGGTTGCCCTTAAAGGAATTAATAAAGTCATGGTTCAGAACAACATGGGCATGTCCTCAATGGTCAGGTAAATATCCTTATTAATGTTCCAGGGTTTGCTCTCTCACTCTTATGCCATAATAACTGACCAGAGCTTGTCCTGTGTTTTTAATGTCCAAATGACTTGATATTTCAGGTTTCCCTCTGGCCCTTTACCCCCGTGTCCTGAAAGTGCACCACTTCCTCCTCAAGTCATCGGACAGGTAATTATAGTTTTGTAAATGCAGCAAAGTTCGTAAACTCTTCATATTCACCATTATTGTTTTTACGCTTGCCTTTGCTTGAAGGATGGGCATTTGGCTCAAGTTTCAAGACCAAATCCTCCAAACTTTGGACCAGGTTTTGTCAGTAAGTTTTCTGAACATTCAAGTAGATCTTAAACAAACATTTTGTTTGTTTTTATGCTGTCAGGGTTACTAACAAAGGCTTCTTCTTTCAGACAATGCTCAGAGGGCTCAATATGAAGAGTGGCTCCAGGAGACACAGCAACTACTTCAAATGCAGCAGAAGTTTCTGGAAGAGAAGATAGGAGCTCACAGAAAATCTAAAAAAGCCCTGTCTGCCAAGCAGAGAACAGCTAAAAAGGCAGGAAGAGAGTTCCCAGAGGAAGATGCTGAGCAGCTCAAACATGTCACAGAGCAGCAGGGTGTAGTGCAGAAACAGCTGGAGCAGGTAAACGCTCAGCCTGTCAAACCCCAACACACCATTTTCATTTCACTTCAGCCATTCAGAAGGCTTATTTAATGTGGCTCATTCTTAATCATCATAGCAGTAACTTCAATTTGTGAATTTTAAGCTATGAAAGGTGTTATGGTATTTGAATATGTTTTTGTTTTGTTTTTTCTTTAAGATCCGCAAACAACAGAAGGAACATGCAGAACTAATTGAAGAATACAGAGTAAAACAACAGCAAAATAATATGCCCATGATGGCTGGAATGCATCCTCTTCCTGGGCCTCCTGGTCTGGTCCCTGGTGGTCCCCCAATGGGTCAGCCAGCTATGAACCCCATGATTCAGATGCCACCCCACCCTGGTCAGCCAAATGCACCTTCACGTATGCCCAAACCACCGCTTGGCTGGAACCCCGGGGCACCTATGTCATTGGGAGCTCCAGGAATGCCCCACTTAATGACCCCTCAGGGCCCCGTGGGAACCCCTGCACCACCTCATCAGATGCCAATGGGTCCCATTCCTCCGCATGCACAGATCCCAATGGATCCCCAAGCACCAGCTGGTTCTGCTGTACTCAAGCCCATGCAGCCCGGAGGAGTAAAGTTTGATGACAATAATCCGTTCAGTGAGGGGTTTCAGGAGCGAGAGAGGAGGGAGAGACTGAGGGAGCAACAAGAGAGGCAAAGAGTACAGCTCATGCAAGAGGTTGAACGTCAGAGAGCACTCAAACAACGCATGGAAATGGAGCAGCAAGGAATGCTGGGACCAGATGGTAGCATGACACCTTTGGCTGAGTTGCCCTTCTTCAACTCAGAGCTGCCTCAGGACTTTATGTCACCACAGAGGCCTCCTTTACAAAATCAACAGCAGCCCATGTTCTCCCCACAACAAGGAGCCAGTATTGGCTCACCACCGGGGGCGTTCATGCAAGCTGACAGAAGAGCCTCCATGGGTAATGGAATGATACCTCCAGATATGGGTCCTGGGGTAGGACCAGATAATCGCCCTCTACAAGGTCATAACTTTCCTCCAGGTCAGTTGAGACCTCGTCAGTTTAGTGGACCTGGAATGATGATTCCAATGCAGGGAGAAGGGCCGCAGTTAGGCGGGGATTCTACTCCCCTGCCCTCTAACTTTCCAGGGTCCGGGCAGTCTCTAATTCAGCTTTACTCCAACATCATTCCTGATGAGAAAGGGAAAAAGAAAAGAAGCCGCAAAAAGAAAAAGGATGACGATTCAGAGTCTGTAAAGACTCCATCTACTCCACACTCAGACCTCACTGCCCCACTCACACCATGCGTCTCTGACACTGCCTCTACCCCAACCCGAAATTCGCATATCTTTGGAGATCAAGACTTATCAAGGTCACCTATATTGGGATCCTCTACCCCCAATCCTTCAGAGCTGGAAAGGCAGCTTTCTGGAGGTCAGCCTTGTCTCCAGTCAGAACAGGCAAGAATACAGGCTCAAGAACATGAGAGGATCCTCAGCAACATTAAACTGGAGCAGCCTGATGCCAGTGAATGCCATGGTCCAAGAGAGGAGTCTATGGACTCTGTGATGAGTGCTGTTAAGGAGGAGGGATGTAAAGGGACATCTCCGTTTCTACCTGGTCAAAGTCCAAATAAGAGTGAGGCTAGTAACGAACTACTGAAACACCTTTTGAAGAACAAGAGCACCCCTCCTCCCGGACTACCCCATCAGCAGTCTGAAGAAAGTTTACGCTCTGAGGAGGAAGAGGTGGACTGCAAATCACTTCTCAGGCAAAGCTCCATAGACAGCAATGGGGTGAGTGTTTGTGAGAATCATAAAATGTAAGAAGAGGCTGACGTAGTGAGTGACAAACTGCTAAAAGAGAGGCATTGGTTTTAATATATTTAAGTAGTTTTAGTCAGTGTCATGTGATTTTGCTGTTGGACTATAAGATGTGTATTATTGATTTAAACATTAACCATTATAATTCTTTTTGCAGGGATATTCGGACGGCCTCCCTGACTTCCCTGGACCTTTGCATTCTGAGCAGGACAAAAAGAAAGGGAGAAACAAGAGGGCACCCAGAAGTGGAGACAAGCCTGCTTCTCGCTACAAAAAGAGAAAGAAAGAGGTTGATGAGAGGCAGCTCATACACTCGGGACCTGATGCTGTAATGACCCAAATCAAACAGGTAGTTGTTTTACTAACAAATGTCAAATTAAAAATAAATTTAACATAACATAAAATACTATGCTGTGGTGATATAGCAGTTGTCACTTTTGCCACTCATGGAACCACTTATTGGAGTCAACTTTGCCCACTTTGCACCGTATGGGAGTGGCCAACTGAATGGAGAGTCCCTTTTATCTGGAACCTTTGGCAGTGCTTCACTCGATGGTGTGTCAGACTATTACTCCCAACTGGCATACAAGGTAACATGAGTACCCATTTCAGCTGTGATTAAATACGCTACCAATCAAAATATAAATCTAGAAGTTTGGAAACTCTTCATATATGTTTCTTATTTATTTCTATGATTGTTTACATTGTAGATTCTCACTGAAGGCATGAACAGACATGGAATGTAATAAACAAAAAAAAAATCATCATAAATATCTTGTAACTCATACGTGATGTTTTCCATATGTATATAAACTATAGAAAGTAGTAAACATTAAGAAAAAATTGTTGGTGCATACAAACTTTTGACTGGTAGTGTAAATATAAATAAATATACTAAGATCAATTGATGCACAGAGATAATGGACATAAAAGCTGATTTGGCAATTGGTATGATTTTTAAGCAGAATAACTTGAGCAATCCACCAACGCCACCGGCATCTCTTCCTCCCACTCCACCACCTGTGAACCGACAGAAAATGATCAATGGATTTGCCACAACAGAAGAGCTGGCCAGCAAAGCTGCTGCTATAGGTAAAATAACAGCAAAACACTATTTACAACTATTTAATGATTAAAATGGGAGCTAAAGTTTTAATTGTGAAAACTATTTTTACAGTGTCAAAAGGCCTAGTCCCAAAGGCACTGCATGTTTCTTTTAGGCCTGAAGAAGATCTCTTGGCCCGGGCCATTGCACAGGGACCCAAAACTGTGGATGTGCCTGCTTCTCTCCCTACTCCACCCCACAACAACCAGGAGGAGCTCAGGTATGCATCAGGACAAGATATTATGTGATGCTTCAAATCTGTATTATATTATACTATATTTTACTTTACTTTATGTACAATTACAGAGTACAGGAATCTTGCAAGGACAGGGACACTCCTGACAGTTTTGTGCCATCCTCATCTCCTGAAAGTGTGGTTGGCATGGAAATCAGTCGTTATCCTGACTTAGCAGTGGTAAAAGAGGAACCTCTGTCACCCTGTCTGTCCCCAGTTCTACCCATGCTTCCTCCCGCTCAGGGCAAAGGTACAAATTTCTAATATTTGTAAAAAGATTTGGGGGATAGGAGTGACAAATGCATTTTGTTTTCTAGGAACAGAGGTCAAGCTTCGAGACATAAAGTCCGAACCAATGTTCTTCAGTGGTCCCTTTGATGCTCTAAACAACTCTAAACAAGGCCTAGTTTCTGTGGCCATCACGTTGAGACCAGCTGCTGCTGAGGTAAGAGCATTACACATCGAATTATTACATCTGTGTTGCTTTTGTCAGAAATGTAATTCTTAAAATGTCTTTTTAGAACATCACTGGTGTGGTAGCGGCTATTTCCGACCTCCTCTGTGTGAAAATCCCTAGCTGTTATGAGGTCAGCAGCACGCCAGACAGAGGCCCTCAGCAGATGTACAGTGGCCCCAGGATGGGCCCCCATGGCATGGATCCACGCGCTCAGATGTTCTTCCATGGACCAAACAATGGGTGGCCCATGATGAGGCCACATGGCATGATGCAGCAGCAACTTCATCATTTCCGCTTTCCTGCCAACAGCCCTGGTCTGTAATAAATCTGTATATTCACAATTATTTTAGTGTTTTTGTACACAGCCAAAGCCAAAAAGAAATCCTCTATCTTTATTGATAATTATATATAAATATATGATTAAAACATGTGAAAACTTGTTGCAGGCTGTGCCATGACGAGGCCTGATCAAAGGATTCCTGGAAGTCCTGGATCCAAGCCCCCATGGTGCTGCCACTGTAAAGTGGTGGTTCTGGGAAATGGAGTTCAGAAATCTTTCCAAGATCTCCCTGTGCATTTAAAGGTATATTTTATTCAGTATTAAATTGCTATGCCATCTGTATATATATTTTATGAGCTGACAACTTGCTAATGCCTGTAAAACTAATTTCTTTTAGCAATATCATGGTCGTATGAAATCTGAGGAACATCTAGTTTTTTGCAGCAACAACTGCTTCCTCTTATACTGCTCTGCATCACCTCTGCAGCCTCGACCACCTTCAGAAGTCAAGGTTCATATCACTTTATGTCCTGCACAAATGTTATATTTTACATTGTCTAATGGCAGCTATCTTTTAGGAGACTGTGAGTCTTCTTCCGGTTTCTGGGCAGGCTGAAATTCTCTCCAAAGCTCAGCATCAGTACAGCAACAATATGTCCTCACTAGATGTTCACTGTTTGGCTCAACTTCAACCTAAGCAGTCTCCGCCCTCCACCCCCCCTCTGCCGTTCCCATCTGCTGGAGGAGCGCCAAAACATGAAAACAAGTCTGATGCTATCAAAGTGACTGTGAAGCTGAAGGCCAGGCCAAGGTCCCATGATGGCTGGCACCAAGGAAAGAGACAGAAAGGCCTGCGCTGGAGGAAATGGACTGTTCAGGTGGTTGTCCCGAGGGGAAGTTCCCATCTCCCTGAGGAGGAGAAGATCGATGATCTTCTTAAGAAACTGGGTGCCTCCTTGCGCCCTCCGTCCTCCCTCCGAGACCAGAGGAGGTGCTGTTTCTGCCACCAGTTTGGAGATGGGATCACTGATGGTCCAGCAAGGCTTCTTAATCTGGACCTAGATGTTTGGGTGCATCTCAACTGTGCCCTGTGGTCCACTGAGGTGTACGAGACACAGGCTGGTGCACTGATAAACGTGGAGCTCGCTCTCCGTCGTGGTCAAACGGTGCGCTGTGCCTTCTGCCAGCAGACAGGGGCTACCAGCGGCTGCCATCGACTACGCTGCACCAATGTCTACCACTTCACCTGTGCTCTACAAGCTCAGTGCACGTTCTTCAAGGACAAAACCATGTTGTGTCACGCTCACAGGCCCAGGGGTGCAGCTGGACAGGCCATGGAACATGAGCTGCGCTGCTTTGCTGTTTTTCGTCGTGTTTATGTTCAAAGAGATGAAATGCGTCAGATAGCCTCCGCAGTACAGCATCCAGAATTGGGCTACACTTTACGAGTGGGCAGTCTTGTGCTGCATGCAATAGGCCAGCTCACCCCTCTACAGATGGGAGCTTTCCACTCCCCGACAGCGATATTTCCAGTTGGATATGAGGCTTGTCGTATTTATTGGAGCATGCGTCATGGCAACCGCCGCTGCCGCTATGTCTGCTCTGTCGACGACATGGACGGGCTGCCAGAGTTTAACATCAGAGTGATTGAACAAGGTTACCAAGACTTGGTCCTCACAGACAACACGGCTAAAGGTGCATTGTGATTTAATTGTATATTTTGTAGTATCCGTGGTATTAAAATCGATCAAATGTTTTATTTTTGCTTTATTCACTATTTTTTTTTTTTTGTAGGAGTATGGGATAAGGTTCTGGGTCCTGTTGCTGAGAAAAGATCTGAAGTTGGGACTCTGAAACTGTTCCCAGTTTACCTCAAAGGAGAGGACCTGTTTGGGCTCACAGTCCCTGCAGTTGCTAAAATAACTGAATCGGTTTGTGATTTTTTTGTTTTGTTTTATGTTTGTGTTACACTTATATATTGAATTGTATAAATTCTCTAGCTGCCGGGAGTTGAGGCATGTGACAAATATACTTTCCGTTATGGACGCAACCCCCTCATGGAGCTGCCACTTGTGATCAACCCAGAAGGCAGTGCTCGGGCCCTGCCCAGAGTCAGCACAGCCCGTGCATCAGTGGTGATCAGGTAATTGATTTAGTAAGCTTCATCTTGTATATATTGTATATATATATATATGTATATATATATATATATATATATATATATATATATATATATATATACTGAACTTGTTTAAATGTTAATGTCAATTCAACCCTTAGACCTCAACCACAGACCACGAGTAACAGCACTGCAAGATCTAACCAAAATATAGCCCAGGGAGAAGGGGGCACAACCCACAACAAGCCCCCAGTGGTGCACCCCCGGTCCTCTCAGTACCGCTGGATGAAGAGCGAATGGAGAGCCAATGTTTACCTGGCTCGCTCTCGCATCCAGGTGAGTCTACAGCACCCCACTCATCCCATCACTCTCCTTACCTGTGTGAACAGATTCACTTCACTGAAATTTTCTGTGGTGCATTCCTAGGGCCTTGGGCTGTTTGCTGCACGAGACATTGAAAAACAAACTATGGTGATAGAGTACACCGGGACTGTGTTACGGAATGAGGTTGCCATCAGGAAAGAGAAGACTTATCGTTCTCGGGTAAAATGTTTATTTCACTACGTGCACAAAGTTACCTTTACACTTGTCTAACTGAATGTTCCTTTGGATCTACTCAGAACCGAACTGTGTTCATGTTTCGCATCGACAGTGAGCATGTTGTTGATGCCACTCTGACTGGAGGGCTTGCAAGGTACTGGACTATTTCAGTATGTTCAATTATCCTATATCATATATGAATACATTCTAATAACCTTTGTCACTCTCAGATACATCAACCACTCATGCTCACCTAACTGTGTTGCTGAGGTGGTAACGTTTGAAAGGGGATTCAAAATAATTATCAGCAGTATTTCCCGAATTGGAAAAGGCGAGGAGGTGGGTACTCATCTTTTTTTTTTTTTTTAGAAAAGTTAAACTTTAAATGACTTGTAATTGTGATTGTCTGTGTTCTTTTGTAGCTATGCTTTGACTACCAGCTGGACTCTGTGGAGGGTCAGCATACAATTGCCTGCCACTGTGGAGCTCCTGAATGCAGGAAATGGATCAACTAAATGGTGACAAAAATCATTCCTACTCCACTAGTTTGTGGATACCACCATGTGTTCAGATAGACCTGCTACACACTACTTTTATAAATGAGAAGAAGGCATGATTCCTAGAGGAGGTTCAAAGCATGGGGAAACATGAGCGGAGTAAGGGAATCATAACACAGTAGCAGGTTGTGACTTGTGCCATATGTGAGAGAGATCGTCTATGTTTGTCTGTCTATGTTTGATGTATATGTACACGGGGTGAAGAATCCACCAGCGAATGAGAAAGCACTGTGCAGGGTGCAGCCTTATTGTTATTCTAAGGGCAGGCCCTTTGATTCATACTGTTAATGTAAACCGTATGACTAAATGTAGACATCACTGAATGAGGAATGTACAGCAATGAAAACCGCGAAGGGAATTTAAACTTGCACTAAAGAAAACACACACACAAAAACTTTGAAAATACTTGATTCCATGAGTCAGTTTTTTACATGGTTCTGTCACTTGGTTTGTGTGGAATTTGAGAGGTTTTGTATTTATTACTGAGTGAATGAATTTTATTCTCAAAATAATGAGATTGAGTTACAGAAGGCTAGATTGATATTGTTTTTGAAGCTAGAAGAAGACATGCTGTTACTTTTGTATAAATGTATATAAAAAAAAGACTATAGGAATAACCGACCAAATACTACCTTAACCCTCTTGATGTTTGGGTGTTTTTAAATTGTTTTTGTTTGTCATTGAAATTTATTTAAGATGGACATTATTTCCGTTTGAGAGTATATATTATGACTATTTTGTACAGAATTTGTAAAATAACCACAATAACTCACAAAGTATTTTTGTTGTATTAAAAGTAAAGTATTGTAGCGTAGTGTTTTGTGACTTGTACACACACTTTGACCACTTAAAAAGAAATATTTTTGTTCACTATTGTAACAAGTTACTGAAATTTAAAAGGAGATAAACTATTTGCTGTTTATCAGGTTTTATTTTAAACTGTGAATTAGGTTTTGAAACCCAAAACTTTTTAACTTTTTAAACTCAAGTAGAATCACACACTTTTTCATGTTTTAAGTTGCTTTTAAATCAAGGTGCAAATGTCTAACTGTAATATATGTAAGGTAACGCTGTGTGTGGCAGAGGGGAGCATAGATTGTTCTACCTTTTCAACAGAAATGGCAATTCTCCGTAATTGGAAATATTTCTTACACTGACACTTCACAAGTCACATGCTTAGAAGCGTTTTTGTGTGCACAATATTGACTGTACAATTTTGGAGCAGTCTTAGAACTTGTAATGTATATGGCATGTATTTTTAACTTTCTGAAAATTCAATTGTATATATTTTCTCAATGAATGGTTGTAACAAAATTGTTTCTTGAATATTTTTCTTCTCCTGTATAGTATATCATCCTGCCAGTGTTTCGTGCTACATTTTCTTGGTTGTGGAAAGTAGTTAATTTCACCTCTCAATTCTTTTTAAAAATGCCTTTTGGAGTGTACAGAGTATGAGATTTGAAGTTTGTGGAATTTAGAAACATTTACAAAAATAAACTATTTTACATGTTATAAACTGTGCAATTCATTGCAAAAAATATTTAAAGAATGTGATGTGAATGGTGTGATTCGTTTAATCACAATGCCAAAAATACTGGGCATATTGCATTTTGCACCAGCTATTAAATGTGCACTGTGTAACTTCTGGTGTCCTCCCTGCTTGTTTCCATGGAAATGCTATTGCTTTTCCAAAAATGTTTCTTAACGCCATGGAGACAAGTGGGTGGCACCAAATTACAGGTCGGGTCTGTGGAAGGGCAACAACACTGGTGGTAAGAATACATGTTTTTGAGTAATTTTTTTTTTTTTTTTTTTTTTTTTACAAAACAAAAGCTTGAAAGATATATTTAATGCCATACTACGAAACATGCCAGACTAAGTAATACCATTTATGCATTCATATCTGCTACAAGAAACGTTACTCAAAGGTTTAGCCTAAGAGTTGGTCATTTAAACTTTTGCACAATAAACTACACATTTGAGTAGCTCTTTTGCCAAACTCCTCAGTTGTGTTATGTTGTTCGGTTGCAGTTTTAAGAAAATTTAATTGGTTTGCTGCCCTTGTGTTCTCTCACTCAGTCCACAAGAGGACCAAAGGGGGCAATGTGGTAGTGCAACAACTGCAAGACTGACCTACTGACTTTGAAGAGGTAGCAATGCACGGTAGAAGTTTTTCCATCGCTCACCTAAACAAAGGCGATTTTGTCCCGTATTTTTCCACGTTAGTCCGAAGCACCCTTATTTCGTAATTTATTTTTGTTATTTTTTTCCGCGTGCCTTGCCTTGCCCTGCCCATGGCCCAGCCTCCCGCGCGGCCGAGCCTACTTCCTGGTGAATCAGGCAGCTCCGCGTTGTCGTAGTAGAGCAGTGTGGGGCAAGTGAAGTGAAGGCGGAGGTGGTAGTTGTTGATGATCTGAAAACAGCATTTAGTATTCCTATTTTTTATTACATATTTATATTATTGACGTTTAAAAGCCAAAATGGGGAGCACGGTGATGGAGAGCAGCAAGGACAGCTCAAAGAAAATGCCAAAAAGGAAAAGAAGTCTACGGATTAACATGCCAGTGAGTCGGTGAAGTATCAACTCATTTGATCTTTTATGCAAACATATTTAACCTGATGAACTTTAAATGATTTTGATTGTTTTCGTTGTAGCCAGGAGCACAGTTGCTAAATTTTGATCATGATATCTGACAGTTCCTCCTCTTGTGCTATGTCATGGAAGAGTCATCATTTTTGCCATTTCTGTTTTATTTCTCCACTTTATAATGTTAATCTGCACATAACAGTATAAAATATGATTATAATGACGCTAACGGGTTACTTTAATGCTACTGACCACCCAGATTTAGTTGCTGTTTATACTTGGGGGCATCTTAAGTTGGATTTGGTGCAAGTTCTAGGAAATCTGTTTATATCATAACAATTTTCATGAGAATGCAAGAAGTTGTCCTGTTGCATTCTTAAGTAAAAATGCCCTGTAAATCCACTGTAAGCAACACTAACTCTATTATACATTCAAATAAGCACTGTCATGGAAGTCAAAATAATGACATTATCTAGGAAAATGCATGCAACAGTCAAATCTAACTCCCAGAAAATGTAAATAATGACAATTTAAGGTCACTTGTAACTGTTGTGTGTAATCTATGACTGTAAAGAAAATGTTAACCCACTATAGACCAGCCCTGTCCATCAGTTAATTGACTAAAAAGTGGCCTTGTGTGGCCACTGACAAAAGATGGCAAAATTATTAGGATCTTGCTCAAAAGCTACTGCAGACAAATGCTAGTAAACTGCATCTTTATAAGTGAAAAGTCAGATTAAACTGTCCAGTCACTTGAACCAACTCACTCCATAGCACAAGACCAGATCACCAATGAGGTCTGTGGGGAGGTGACCTTGGATTTTTTTTCAGTGCCAAATATCTTTAATGCCATATACTGTGGATCATTCCAGGCAAAGCAACAACAGCTCCATGGAGACAAGCAGAAAGGTTACATAATGCATATTTATGTGGTTTGATTATTTTTATTGGTATGTTGTTGTTCCATGAAATCATGTATCCAAGCTTGCAATCGATATGTTTACTTTTCAAACATCCAAAAATCCCAATCTTGATTCTAATGCCTTTTATACACACTTTTTTCAACCTCAGACATACAAGTGAGTTAATCCTAAACTAGACACTCCACCCCATTGTCATTTAAGGATGGGTCAAATGTGGACAAACCTCTCTACAGGCACAAACAAGTAATTTTCTCTGTTAATTACTACTGTTTTATAATGAGATATGCAGGTTAGTTGGTAGACCATATCCACTGCCTGCTCTACTTTTGTCCTGCTTTGAGTCTAACCTCATCTGGGCCCGTGCCAGTTAATATCATTAGCCTCTTGGGGAAGCGTCGTCTTGGATTTCTATGATGCCTTCTGGTACCATTGTGTAAAATACGGTATCCCTTTCCTGGAAAACCTACACGTGAAGTTCACCTAATTGCATGTGTAATGAGCTGTCAGCGACCTTGTGTGGCAGTGAGGGCACAAAGAGGTATACAGACAGAGGGCCGATATTTGCAGTTTTTAGCATATCGGCTATCGGCCTTAAAGATGCACTATGTAACTTTTTGGTCTGGAGTCCGTCACTTGCTTGTTTCTATGGAGATGTATTTCTCTACCTGGAATATTCCACAGAATGCCATTTAAAAGCTCTACCTTACATTTGTTCAATTACAGGTGATTTTATAGCTAAAAAAATATCTAGAGAAGCATTCTGACGACTGTGAGTAGGATTGCCTCTGCACAGATCTGACCTGTAACTCGGTCTGTTTTTTTTCTCCATGAAGATAGAAAGGTTTAATACTGTACCGTGAAACACCAAAAAAATTAGCCTGTGCTGGAGATTTAAAGGTGCACTGTATGATTTAATTTTGGCCAGTCTGTTGCCTCAAGAATCCACAAAAATTGAGATGAATGCACAAAATTTGATTACACAACTCTCTGATATATTTATGGTAAACAAAGGGCTGTGGGTGAATTCTTAGTAAATTTAAATGACATGATTTCAGCAAAATAATGAAAATATGCCCTACATATCAGCCCAAGAATACAGGCAGGGCTTATTGGCCATTGATTGCTCTGGATTCTAAGTAAACAGTATCAGTATTGACCATGAAAGAGGCCATATCACTCGATCTTTAATGTTACCCTTTGGTATGGGGAAGAGCTGTTTTGTTACAAGGCCATCTGCGCTGCTGGTGGAACATGTTTATCTACTTCCTGGGTGTATGCTAATCTGCCCGGTGTGTTAATCACTTCACTTTCACCGTGTCCTTTTGACTCATCTACCAGACAGATGGATTACCAGTTTGGATAGAGGTTCACAAAATGTGGTGCAGGTACTAGGGTTGTCGAAAGTTGTCAAAAATCAGATACAAATCAATGCTAAAACTTAATGAACTTTTCCTGAATAGCTTTAGAATGATGTAGTATAAAACCACAGACTATTATACGCCCATACTACCTGGATGACTGGATTACACAGATATGAAGTCACAGGGTAATACAAAAGAAAGCACTATTTTTAATGTTAAAAATCACATTCTACTGGCTAAATAAATGTTTTTATTATCATCATGTTATCAAACCTTTTCTTTAGTATCAAAAGTAAGATTACAATTTTAGTATATAAATAGTAATGATTACTCTACTAACTGTGACTCACTGGCTATAAAAGAAAGTAACTATCAAAATAATGGAGTAAGTAAGTTTGTTTGAAGTATAGAGACTGTAAAACACCTACCAAAAAACATTTTATAACAAAGACAATGCTGTAATAGAAACAAAATGTCAAAAAAGAATAAACAATTTCAGATTTTTATCAGTAAGACTTTACTTTATTTGTAGATATTGTCTCCCCTAGGAACCTTAAGTCACCATATTTCAGCCTTTATTTGGTTGATTATGTATTTAAAAAGACTCAATATAAATTATCTGTCTAATAAAATAATTTCTAGTTGCAACCCTACAAGCACAGCAGTTGTTTTATCAAAGTTTATTTTTTATATTGATTTCAGATTTTATCAGCAGACACAGTTTGTACAAGTCCATGACCTAGAACAGTGGTTGCCAACCTTTTTTTTGTATTCCCAAACAGAAGTCTGAGGGTTGAGATTCACTTCCTCCAGTGCATATTGTTGTTGTTTCCTTGGGCAAGTCACCTGATCCTGACCTGGCGCACATTGATTCTGGTTCAGATTTGGTTTAGCTTTAGATTAAACCTTGTTAGTGCAGTTATAATCAGGTTTGCTAGGTATGGCCAGATAGGACTTGCCAATTTGGTAATCCCTTCATCTTTAACGCCTACTGCTCTCTTTTTCTTGCAGGACATTGGTTCCTTTGGCTTCTCACAAACCGAAACGAGCAGCTCCTCTAAAAGTGCCACTCAGGTAAAAACAAAAAACTTGCGCCATAAAAGCAGGAAATTGCGGTATATTTCATTGTGCCCATTTGACTGTTTGGATTTTTGGTGAGAAACTGGCCAAATATGAAATTAAACAAGGCTATTTAACGTAATTTGCCAACCTTAACTGGCTCGTACCTCCATTCCTCCCACTGCACTAGGCCATAGGAACATCATGTACAGGAAACAGATTTTTTTCCTATTGACAGTCGCACTGCACTCCATAGCCACACACTAATTCATTCAGAGAAAACACAATTATAGTGAAAATTCTTTGTTATGGCTAGGCTGTGTTGTAGAATTCAGATTGATAAATACCAGCCTAGCTAAACCTCTCATTTACTGTTGCACAATGGCAATGAAGTGTTGGCAAACAGGGAAGGGTGTGGGCCAGCCTGCGAAGATTTCACAGGAGCTTGGTTTAAACACAGAGTGTGAGATCTGTCAGTTATTTTAAGGAATACAAGAACACAGAAGCTAAACTAATCTTGATACAATTAACAATAGCAATGGCAAGACAAACTTTACTCTTAAAGGTCCTATATTAACGCACAATT